AAACATCTTGAACACAAATATCAGATTCCAAAAACACAGACAGTTCCTGGTTCCATCTAAATATTGATGTAGGAGTGACAAGGTTACTATTCAAATATCTGTAAATTATTTTTGTGCATTTCTCGTATACAATAATATTTTCAAAATAAAAAGCAATAAAAGGTGTACATTGTCTCTTAACAGATGCTTTATCTATAGACATTGTTTTTAAATACCTGGATATAGCACAGATAACACTGTTGTATTGCATAATGCAAACATTAAACAAATGAAATCTATTTTCAAAGTCAATGAGAGTTAAAAATTTTCCTTCACTGTTTAAGAAATCACAAACACTTTTGACACCATTTTTATACCAGGTCTTTATAAACATTATTTTATCTCCCATTTTTATATTGGGATTATACCAGACAGGTAAATTCAGATACATGTACTTAGTTTTCATATATGAATTGTCATTGAATGTCCTCATGTAAAATAGCCATGAAGTAAACACATCTTTCCAAAAATCATTATTTTTTACAATCAAGCAAGATACAAACTCTTCACCAAAATCAAAAAGTTCAGTCAATATGTCTTTACCATTTATTGCCAAAAAGATATCAAACCATGGTTGATTGCTTTTTGTTAATCTTTTAATCCAGGAGCACTTAAGAGAGATAATAAAGTTATTTATATCCAACATTTTTAATCCTCCTTGTAGAAAATCTCGAGTAATAATTTTTCTTTTTACTTTATCACATTTTGATTTCCATATAAACTGAAATATTTCTCTGTTCAAAAATGACAAGGTTTATTTACTTGGACTTGGTAAGGATATAAAAAGATGGTTAAATTTTGGTAAAATCAATGTTTTCAGCACCGTGACTCTTCCAATAGGAGTAAGAATTCTTCTTCTCCATTGTTGAATTAATGCTTTGATTTTTGGTATTTGAACATTATAGTTAATATTAATTATTTTATCTAGTTCTACTGAAAAATTAATTCCAAGTAAATTAAAAGTTGTGCAACCCCATTCAAGTTTCCAACGAGAATGGTGAAAAACTTGATGAGAGAATTTTTTTGAACCTTTCCAAACAATTTTTGTTTTTGAGCTGTTAATTTTAAGTCCTGTGAACTTTGAGAAAAAATCAATTGTATCTAATGCTGCAAAAAGTGATTCAGGTGAACCATCAAGGGCAAGCCAGGTATCATCTGCATATTGAGATATTTTATGTTCTGTCTTGTTAATTACAATTCCTCTAATGCTTTGATTTTGTTTAATCATAATTGTAAGAATTTCCGCACAAAGAAGAAACAGATATGGTGCTATAGGATCTCCCTGACGACATCCTCTTTGGATATTAAACTGTTCAGATAAAAATCCACATTGAAGAACAGATGCACAAAATTCTGTATTTAAAACTTTTACCCATTCAATAATGTTTTTACCGAATCCAAAAAATTCTAATACTTTATACACAAAGGTCCAGGATATTGAATCAAAAGCTTTTTCAAAATCTATAAGTACAAGTGACCCCGGTATATTTCTAGATTCAGTGTAAGCCATAAGATCATAAAGAAATCTGGTATTTTCACCTATGTATCTTCCTTTTAAAAATCCAAGTTGAGTATTTGATATAATTTTGTCTAGGGTGGATCTTATTCTATAACTAATACAACCTGATATAAGTTTATAAAACACATTTAAAAGTGTAATAGGCCGCCAATTTTTCAGAAATTCTCTTGGCTTATCACCTTTTGGTAAGCATGTAATTATCCCTAGTCTTTGAGAAATAGGGAGTTCTTTTTTCTGAAATAAATCATTTATGGCAGGTACTATAAAATGTTTCAAATCTGACCAAAATTTTTTTTTAAAAATTCAGCAGTGAAACCATCACTTCCCGGTGATTTATTGTTTTTCATGTTTTTTAACACCTGTAAGACTTCATTTTCCAAAATATTTCCCTCAAGTGATTTGGCAACATGATTATTAAGTTTTGGAACCTCAGTAACTGTAATAATTTCTGCCAGATCTATATCGAGAAGTTCTGCATCAGCAGAAGTATACAGTGATTTGTAATACGTCCTAATTCTATTTAAAATTTCTGATTGATTGTAAATTACCTCATTGTCTGTTTTAATCTTTTTGATAATCTTATTTAAATAGTTACGGGACTCTAGTTTACAAAAATATTGAGATGGTTTTTCTCCATCTTCAACCCATCTGGCTCGAGACCTTATAACATGACCTTGTAGCTTTTCTTTTCTCAAATTCTCAAGATTTGTTTTTTTCTCTTCTGTTAACTGTAGATTCAGTATGTTCTCAGCCTCTAATTGTTCTATTTGTGCAATTAATAAGGCTTCTTCTTTATTTTTTTCTTTCTTTCTATATGACGAATATGAGATTGTAATTCCTCTAATCTCCATTAAGAGAACTTCAAGAAATGTACTGTTATCCATATCATCTATAAGCGCATTATTCTTTTGATATTGTTTTCTAACAGACTTTATTGTTTCTTTCACCTTGTTAACATATGTTTTGTCTGTAAGTAAAGAGTTGTTAAATTTCCAGAGACCTTTTCCTTTTTTAAAGGTATTAAATTTTATATCAAGAACCACTGATGAGTGGTCCGATCTGTACCCTGGTTTAATTGCTAAGTTTTCAACCAAATTACACATATTTTCAGAAATTAAAATATAATCTAAACGTCCTTGTTTCATTGGATTTTTCTTTCGCCAAGTAAACATTTTTAAGTTTGGATTCAAAATCCTGAAATACTCAACTATTTGTAAATCATTCATAATTTCTAAAAGTTTTTCTCTCCCCTTTGGATTGTTGACGTTACAGTAGTTTTCTGTATCTATTGATGGGTCAAGAGCCAAATTAAAATCACCGCATAATATAAAATAATCATTGTCAAGCTCTAATAAAGTTTCTCTTACTAACTCATAAAACTCTGGATTATCTGTGTTTGGTCCATAGATATTTATTAAAGTAACTTTATTATCCTCGATTGTCATATCGAGAGCTAATAGATTACCATTAACGTCCTGTTTCTCCTGTGAATCTGAAATTCAAAATTGTTATTAAACAGAATGCATACCCCTCTTGAGTTTGACTTGTACGAATTGAAAATACATTTATATCCCCATTGTGTTTCAACGTAAGGTTCTATTTCTTTCGTAAAGTGAGTATCCTGAAAACAAAGAATTGAGTAACCCTTTTTCTTATAATAATTTAAAACATCCTGCCTTTTGGTACCTGTTGCCAAACCTTGACAATTCACCGTTGCTATTTTAATTGAGCCACTTATTTAGTTTGTAGCAATTTAGAAAAAGCAATAAAATAGAAATCATAATAAGTGATAGGCATCATCTTTTCAGATAATCAAAGCACATATTTGTAAAAGAGAAACAGGGGAACATACACACACTCACCGACACACCCTCACCGACAGTAAATATGATTTAATTTACAGTATAATGAATGGCTTAATCATCATGGCAAATATCATAGAATGGCTTGATGTGATTGGTTGAGAGATAAGAAAAACAATCAAGATTTGTAATTTTTCCGAAAGACGTCGCCACAGTCAGCCCACAAATATTGAATGAAATATGCGAGGGGTCCAACCGCAGCTATGTTAAGGCTTCCCGAAGCTTTAAAATGCGCTCAAAACATAATATGTCATTGCGAGGTCGGTTTTGGTTAAAATTTATAAGTATTGAACTTTAGTACTTCCAATTTATATAAAGGGTTTCCTCGGCTATATATTAGCATATTTGTTATGATATCACATGACTTTGTTGATCACGTGACGGTCATTTATAAGTTTTTGAAGTGTTTCATATAAATCGCTTCGGCGCAGCTGATTAACACAATAATTATTAACATTTTGTTATGTAAATAAACTCATCGTATCCTTGTGTATCCGAAATGTGCTTGGGAAAAGTCATAGTATTACTTGGGTACAAAATATTTCCTGAGAAACTCAACTTACCTACAAATTTGAGGGTATTTTCCACACAATATCGTAATCTGTATTAAAACAAAGCCAACACACATTTTTCCCAAGCAAGATTCAGTTAGAGAACAACCTCTTCTTACAGATTTCCGCAAAAATTCTCAGATTAATCCTCATTAATCACCTGCGCCAGACTCTTTTATACACACAAAATAAATTCTACCTCCAACCACGGGTATAAAACAGAGTACATTTCAAAATTATATTTTTCATAAGCATTTTGAACATGATGAATTTCAATCAAGGGTAGGTAAGCGGTGTATTTTTAAAATATTCGGACATATAAGACTCAAAAAACCTTTAACGAGTCGTGAATTTTGCAATAGCTATTTAGCATTTTACATGCAGTTTGAAATAAAGTGTAAAGTTCATGACACTCTCCCCGTCATAACACCTCAAGTTTGTAGTGACCTGACGTCATTTTCAATTATGACGTCATATTTTGGTAGTTCAGAGTTGTGAAGGCACAGAGTGCACTGTCATATTCTACGGGAAGCCTTAACCTACCTGCGACGGCAGCTTGTTGACTCAGGACCCCTGGCTTGCGAGGATGACTTACCTGTATGTACATGTTCGTATGACATTTGATATTTGATAATCTGTCTTAATGTCCAATCATTTCTCTACGAACATTAAAAGCAGGGTATTTCAACATGTCGTATGATCATTAGTATCGTCTAACACCGTCTTTGCACGTTTTTCCATAATATTTTCCTGTGGATAATAGGATACTCAGCAATATTGTATTCTCAAAATATTACGACGACAAATCATATACACTATGTTCAGGAAAAGACATTCCTTACACGGACATTAGTCACATTAGGAAACCAACTGCTTGCTTTATGTTTTACGAAGTAAAGACAAGTTGATTTTTTTTCAGAAATTTTGAATCTTAACTTGATCAGCGGTCACTCAGAGAGCGCGTATTTCTCAAAACCACATAATTGAAATGTAATCTCGAAATTTAAAATTATCTTTATTCTATTCCAGGGTGCTTCAGTCTTCATTTTCAACAAGAAAATCGCTAACAAACTTCACAAGCCTCGACGGCGAGAGCAGGTGTCCGAGATCCTACGTCATGACGTCACACTACTGAACAAAATGTCGAACGCCTCCGTCCTTACTATATATCATGGTCTACAGGAGGACAAGTGAGTAGAATGTCAGTGTATGTGTATGCCAAATCGGAGAACTAATCTCTAGTTGTGAGTAGAATGTCAGTGTATGTATATATCCAAGCCGGAGAACTAATCTTTAGTTGTGAGTAGAATGTCAGTGTATGTGTATATCATAGACAGAGACCTAATCTCTAGTTGTGAGTAGAATGTCAGTGTATGTGTATATCATAGACAGAAAACTAATCTCTAGTTGTGAGTAAAATGTCAGTGTATGTGTATATCATAGACAGAGACCTAATCTCTAGTTGTGAGTAGAATATCAGTGTATGTGTATATCATAGACAGAGAACTAATCTCTAGTTGTGAGTAGAATATCAGTGTATGTGTATATCATAGACAGAGAACTAATCTCTAGTTGTGAGTAGAATATCAGTGTATGTGTATATCATAGACAGAGAACTAATCTCTAATTGTGAGTAGAATATCAGTGTATGTGTATATCATTGACAGAGAGCTATCATAGACAGAGAACTAATCTCAAGTTAATTCTTCATTTTTCTACTTTATCATAGATGATCATGACCAGAAAAATCAGCGAGTAATAGGACTCGTCTGTATTTCACTTAGTACATAGCTATGTTCTTGTCCGTTTTTCAAGTCGTCATTTTACATTCCCTTTAAAGAAGAAAAGCAATATTTCTATCTATCCTTTTTTATTTTTGAATTTTTAAAAACTTTTGTACATTAAAAACCATTGCAGGTATAAAAATATTAGACATTCACTATACAAGTGTATTAGTTCATCAGCAATCTCGAGTAACATAGCTTGATGTTCAAGACGAAATACATTGTAGATGCGATTTTACTCTCTGAATTCACAAAGCATGTTGGAAAAGTGCTAAAATTACATACTATATAACCAAGCCTTACACAGTTACTTCTTGGGTTTTTTCACCTTAATTGTTTTAATTGATATAAATAATCTTGTTTTTATAGGGACAGTTTGTCTTTTGCTTCAGAACCTGTCGCCGGAAGTTTAGCAAATTTTCTAGAAAGATTTGACAAAACGTCTCCTCAGAGCATCAACACGGTCTGTATTCTTTTTTAAAAGACAACCAAGAATTTTAATATATTCAAAATGAAATACTTTGAATAATACTCTGACTTTTTCTCTGATTTGATTATTTTGAATCTCTGCAGACATGTGGCTTTATGGAACATGAAGTGCAATGTGGAATTTATCAGGTATTTTGGCGAATCTTAATCGAAATTCTGTACGTATTTTGTATCAATCTGTGCAAGATGAAAGCATTATGGAAAATTTAGAAAATTGTGACTTAAAGCAATGTTACGTTTTTTGTTTTGTTTTTTTAAGAAATTACATGATCTGAATCATACGAATTCTTAAAGCGGATATATTATAATGAGATTTAAAACACAGAACACAGAAAACGCCTTTTGAAGAAATTTTGAAAGTTAATATTTTTGTCTATTAAATTTCTTACAGGAACTTAAAATATAAATATAAATGAATAAAGGTGTCAGCAATTCAATTTTTCCTGTTTAAATTAACATAGATCACTGAAGCTTTAATGTATGTCCATGGTGTAGAGCGGATGATCCATCGTAACGTTAACCCCGCCTCTATTCTTATCACCCAATCAGGACGCTGGAAATTGGCCTGCTTTGGATTTGCAGAGAAAACACAAGATGGAAGGGTAAATATTAATAATTCAATTTATTATGAATTACAACTTTACTGCTATTATTGTTCTTCCTGACTTTAGGGTATATAAACCCAAACCAGTATAAATTGGTATATGTATTAGGCTGTTTAAAAAAAAAGTCCTTTAGAAAAAAAGAAGTTTAAAAATTTTGGTCAGGATATCTTAAATTCAACAAAGGTGTTTAGAAGTATTTTAAACAAAATGAATGAAAATGTAGGGCTTTCAAACTCTGCATTTTTGAATTCATTAATTTGTATAAACATTTTTTTCGGATTAAATACGATTCCTAGCTCTCTCTCTCTCTCTCTCTCTCTCTCTCTCTCTCTCTCTCTCTCATGCCTTGTTTAAGACTTAAATTCTTGGTTATACATACCTTAGGAATCCTTTTCATGTAAAGCATGGAGCCCAAAGATTTCAAAGATGGCACAACCAGATCTGAATTATATTGCTCCGGAAATTCAAACAACGGAAGTATGCACGTACGTCAGCGACATGTTCTCGTTTGGGATGTTGATTTGTACAATTTACAATAATGGACACTCTCTAATTGACGCTCAGTATAACCCTACAGTCTACGTCAAGCAATTAGACACGGTATGTATTTGCTGCTCACTTCAATCTTGATATTCTTAGAATGTTAGCACCGTTCTACATGTCCAAGAGTAAAGAAATTTTCAAATTTGTTATGATTTTTTTCACTACATATATGTAATCAACTTAGCACCACCTTGAGGCCTGAACTTTTGAACCGGAAATCAAATATTTCAAAATTATATGGAGATGTAGCTGTTCAATATAACATTGCGGGAGGTTTGCCTGGCAGTTGTTTTGGAATAAAATAGAACAATTTTCAAGATTGCATGAATTTTTATCCCTCTGACTCCAAGGAGGCAGGGACCATGAAATTCACAATTTTGTTACTGCTCTAGACTTCAAGAGTCCCATAAGCCTCGATGGTCACCTGAGTATCATAAGTTTCTCTCGTTATGACCAACTCGGCCCCAACTGGAATAAGGACTCTGGACTCAATTGATACATGCATTTTATGAATTGTAATGGGCTCCATACTTACTATATAAGATTTACTTGATATGAATAAACGAAAGACGTAGGACTTGGGACCCTGAATATGCTTCGACATAGCAGAGTGTTCGAAATTATTGTATTCGAGATATCAGGATTTTTAAATTTTTTTTTTTAAAATCACATTATATATTGAGAATGAGGGCGGAACCTTCGATCGATTTCGACATACTAGTACTTAAGCAGGATATTCAAAATCCCCCATATTCGAGAGACTGATAATCACCTTTATATAAGCAGAGATGTATTTTTTTCCCTACAATGGTGCTACAGTTATATCCAGATCAGACATTTAACTGTTTAAATAACTCTGGCAGTGAGATTTCGAAACAATACTTCTCGTTCTGCGTGATGATGAATGACAAATTAAGCGGATTGTGCAATTATCCTCGCCAGCGATTGCGATTCTGATACTATTTTCCTCTTGCTCGTGTACTTTTCTCCTTATCAACTTATTTTATTCCTAAGGAAACAAAAACTTGAAAATTCTGCACTGAAAAAATCGAACATAGATGACACTGAAATGATAGCAGACGACCATGATAAGAGCTCCCGTGTGTGACATATTTGATAGAATGGCGATGCCGTAAAAAGCAGACGATTGTTATTTGTACTATTGTTCTTCATTTTCTTTTCATGTTTCTTTTAAAGCTGACTCAGAAGTTTGGAGACATTGCTCCCATGATGCCCCCCGCTTTGGTGGACCCGGTGGAAAAGATGATTAACAGGGATATCCGCTATCGACCCACAGCCCAGCTCTTCTCATTGGTCAGTAACCACCGATTACTGAACCCTTGTGGGAATTCATTTGTCAAATCTCTCTGATAATTTAAATAATCTGCATTTCGATCAATCAGAAGTCTTACTAATAAGCATACGTAGAAAGAAAACTTTAACGTAAATATCAGTATAATTTATAACCATTCCCCTAGATAAATTAAAGTCCAGACTTTTTGACATTATAGACAGCTCTTTTTCAATAAAAAATGGAATTCGTAAATTAACTTACAGTGTAATTGGTCATTTGCAAAATTATTTTGATAAAAACCTTCTGATTGTACACACAAGTTGATATTAAAGCGATGCATGAGTTTCTGGTTGACAATATCTATGTAGTTTTTGGAGATCAAGTCTTCCAACAATCTGTCGGATTTTCCATGGGTACTAATTGCGCCCCTTTATTAGCAGACCTATGTTTATATTCATATGAAGCAGAATTTATTTTTAAAAACTTCTACATGAGAAGACGAAAACACTTGTTGTGGCATTCAATTATTATCAATGAACAGTAATTACTTCCATTCATATGTCGACTCGATATATCCCAGTGAACTTAAAACAAAAGATAGCACAGAGTCTGACACGTCTGTTTCATATTTGGATATTTAACTAGAATATGACGTGAACTTCCCTTATTTATGTAGCAATATACCCTTTCCACATACATATGGAGTTTATGTCTCTCAGTTGATTCCATACCGAAGAGCATGCCCTACGTGCGAACAATTTCTAAAACGAGGCAAGCTATTGACAAACAAGTTGATGATACAAGGATATCAACAGTCTCGTTTGAAATCAACATTTTGCAAGTTCTATGGTCGATACAGTGACCTTATCATTACAATTACAGTCTTTCATTAAGTAGAATGCTGAATGACGTTTTTAAACTTATTGTTAGGCCATTATTTACACACTGAATTGTCTACGGATTTTTTCCGTTTCCCGATCACCCGGCGGGTGTGACCGGTCGACAGGGGATGCTTACTCCTCCATGGAATTTGATCCCACCTCTGATTTTTTTTTTACTTTAGAGGTCCGTGTTTGCTCTGCTCCAGATTTGTATTGTTTCAATGGACTTTTGAGTTATATTACTGTTCATTATCTCCATATTTCAAGAGAAAATGAAAAGACATAAATTTTTGAAATACATGATTATCACACAGAAATGTGCAATATTGAAGGAATAAGAGTATAGCTCCATATGTGTGAGTTTATGAGGTAACGTGTGTCGGGGGACATGTTACTGTACCACTTAGTTTTGTTTGCAGGAGTTCTAATGGATGGCTTAGACAATCTTAATGAAATTTTATAGTCATGATAATAATCAAGTGTAGTTGTGCATTCAAAATGGCCACCGTTGGAAACAGAGGAAAGTCAGTTCGGGGTGACATACTTAATCGCTTGCAACAGCAAAGTTTCTAGTTTTCTTTGATTTATTTAAACTGTGTTTTATCACAAAGATATGATTTTTTTATGGCGTACACAGGCAAAACTTTGTCACCTCAAAGTACAGTGCACTGCAAAACATATTTGGAATACCTTACTAGTATATAGAATATGTTTTTTCACATTTTCAGCTTGTAGACTTAATTGCAACCTATCAAGTTTCGAAATGTCAGAAACTTGTAACTGAGGGCTTTCAGTAATATTTTAATGTCAAATCACACTGAACACTCTAAATTCATTAAGATATTGTGTTCCCGGAACGTTTCAATTGAGGATATTCATTTTTTTCACTTTCGTGATGCAGATGATTCTTGTTTGAAAAGGTGATTTTCCACTTTTTGATGTCCAGTGTTCTTCTTAGTCGATCCAAGATGGTCTCCATTTAAATTTCTGTGTTTTAATACTTATTTGTCGATGTAAAAAAAAAAAAAAAACATGTTCCACTGTCTTTTTTCATTGCTCTTTGCCACTGGAAGATGTCCCATTTTACCTTTTTCAATTGAAGTTTTTTTTCTTCTTATTTTAAAATTTATAAAAGATTTACCATATTTTATTTTTCCATTTCAAATGTTTGTCATTCTGTTTGTGTTTGGAATGTACTACATTTTACTTTTTCCCACAAAAATAATTAAACGTGTTGATTTCATATGTTTTGAGGACTCTTTTAAAGACAGATGATGGAAACAAATATTTTTTTTTTCAAAAACCATAAAAATAACTTAAGGGAGCCTACTGGGGTTTTATTGTGTGAAAACTACTATAGAGAAACCATAAGTGCCTTACATTGACTTCAGTATATATGCAAAGTTTAGTGAAAATCTACCTTCTGGTTATATTTTAGGGACCATCTCAAAATACAGGTATATTTACTATAGGATTATATAGAAAAAAGCCATTTTTCGCACTTTGGAGCAAATTATACAAATGCTACTATAGACTTTTCGCTCAAATTATATTATTTGATGGGTAATACTATATTGTACATTTTTTGCAAGAAACACAAAAATCTACCGTCTGGTTTCCAGAAGGGACATCTCAAAATTCATGATATTTTCCTGTTTTTATGGAGTACAACAAAATATGACAGATACCACAAATTTACATAAAAAAATATAATAAAAATGATTTTGAGATTCTCAATATCCTATATTTAAAAATTCAAGATCATCTATTTTATACCTTTTATTTCATGACATAATTAATGACCCCGCTTAAAGAACTTCAGTTATTCATAACGTCAAAAAACACACTTTTACGACATCTATCTACCCATCATTTGAAAAATCGTTTAAAAAATCAGTTATTTAAAAACTATTTAGATTTTTTAACCTGATATTTCCTTAATTTGTTAATTTTTATAAATTATTTAAAAATAGTTGCTTTAAAAGAGTAAATACGCTTTATTTTACTATGCTGCGCAAAATATTACGCAACGAAAACCCCAGTCGGCCCCCTTATATAAGTAAAGTGAATATTTTTAACCGCAAATGTTTACTTTTTCATTCCTAGTTTCACAATAATATCCTATAAAGTAGAAGAAAGTTGACTAGATTTATAAGGATGATTGCAGAAAGGTAGACTTTTGAACATCATCGAAAGTCTACAATTTCTTAAAATTTCCAATATTTGATTATTTGCATCATTTACAGCCAAGAATACATGTAGGTCCAAAAATATATATATATCGATCCAGGCATCCATTTTTTGTTTGTATCCTCTGTCCTTAAGATAGCTACATATGTTTTAGCTGTACTTTTATTTTAGCTGAAGATGTTCCATGACCCCACGGTCTCTACGCTACAGCAGCTCGACAACCTCCACTTAAAGAGTCCCTCCGATAAATCCCACGTGTTCAGTGTGATTTCTCAGAACATTCCACTTCTTCCAAAGGTCAGTTAAACCCATATACAGATCTAAATATAATACTAGTAGTAATTAAGTTTTTAAAGATACATATATATTACTTACTAGTAGTTACTTACTAAATTTCTCATCAATTTAATAAAATGCACAAGTCTATTTTATAGGCAATTCGCTGTTCCCGCCTTTTACCCAGCCTGCACCAGGAGTTTACGTCACGTGACTCTGTCGTCACAGCGTTACCGCCCCTTTTATCGCTGGTTCAGCATTCATCTTCTGAGGAGTTCTCACAATATGTCTTTCCAGAAATAACTTTTGTGTTCAATTGCTCAAAACCCGAACAGGTAAAATATACAGAGATAAACAAATCATCAGAAAAATAATATTAATCAAGTGTTGTTAATTTTGGCTGGATTTTAAAACTTTTAGCGCATATGCAGTCGTTGGTGTGCGATTTCAATAAATATTAATTTTGTTGCAACTCATTAAAACATTGGAGGTTCTTGTTCTTGATTGCGAAAAATATCAATTTCCTAAGAGATTTGTGCTAAGTTTTGAATATATACTGTATATGGAGTTTATGTGTGCAGAAAATACATTGTCTCAAGTCACGGGTCTTGTGTGCATTCTAGAATGGACATAAAACTTGTGGCTTGCGAAGATAATGAAAAAAAAACTAATTTCAATTTTTTGTTAGATTTCGTACAAAATGCAAATATAAAATGACAGGGATTGCCAACAAATACAAAAACATGTTTTATCAATATTTTACGGGCAAAATTACATTACAGCCTTCAAAACAGTAATAAGTCGTCGGCCTTTCAGACCATCCCTTCAGAACCGTTAAAATACATGGGGATTTTTTGGAACATAATCACTACATTTTAAAACTTCAGAATTCTACCAGTGACATTTCCCTTAGCTGTAGGCGTGAATGTCAGTATTAATGATACGCCGTTGAAGTTACATCCTAATTCTGCTTGATATATAATTCTCTCCTTCGAGACATTATAAATTAAGGTATCTTTATTGCTATTTCAGCACACAACCATAATTCGGCGAATGCGTCTGATTTCTTCCTTATAGACGCAATATGTTACATTGAGGACTTTCGAGCTGCAGGTTAATTAATTTTTTTTTTTTTGCAGGCCACTGTGTATCTTCTGAATAAAATCGATTTCATAATATCCAAATGCACCACAAACCAAGTTCGAAGTGATGTTATGCCATTCATCTTGAAACATATTAAATCCGAGTCGTTTAGAATACAGGTAATTAGAATCTTCGAAAGCTATAAAATTCTCCATTCCTAATTATGCAAATGGGGCACTTAAGAGTGACAATATTAAGGCAAAATAAAATGGAAATGATTGCATTAAAATGACATGGCGTTGCACTGTACATAGTTTTAAGTCTAACTAACTCTTGTTCTTTATAGCATGACTTCCGTCCATACTACCACGTTATAGATTTTTTTTGTTCCAGATACATTTCTATATTGTGGTCTATTTTTAATTTACCTATAACCAGGGGTCTTTCAATCATTTGCATTCTATCAAACTTGAAAGCTTAATGAATTAAATCAATTTTTACTTCCAAATATATTTTTTTCATTAATATTCTTTTAAAAATTCATCAATTATTCTCTTGAATTAATCAATGCCTTTTATGTGTGTTCATGGATTTGAAATTAAAAAGTAATTAAAGGGAATGTAGATGTATTGTAAATCAGCGAGGTCCTTTTTTCCTCAGGAAGCTGCCCTGAATGCCTTATTGGTCGTCAAAGAATGTCTGGACGACGCCATTCTTAAATCGACCGTTCTTCCCTGTGCCAAAGAACAGTTTCTTCAGACGGCCGATGTTAAGGCAAGCTAACAAATATTTACGCATTTATCACAGTAAGTTTAGTGTTGTTATTATATAAGCCACTTTACCAGAAAACATCAAAGCGGCCATAAAATAAATGACCTAGAAAATGTTGTAGTTTTGCATACTTTAGTGTCTTAGTGAATTGAGATGAAAGATTTAAAATATACATGCCTTAAAAATACACACATATTGATTTCTTTACCAATTTGTGTATGGTATCATCTTTCAATTACGGTTTTTTTTCTGCATGCTAAAATTACCCTTCATCCTTACAGTTGGTTATTCAAGCACCGACTACTAGTATTCATCCATGTTACGGTAGTGTATATTAATTGAATAGTTACATACACACGATGTATGGCATTAGAAATTTAATTTTAAATCAAAAAAGTAAAACATGTTTCAGTGAACACAGAAATAGCAAATTTATGCTTATCTTTTTTATCCAGTACTGAAATATCCTGGTAACTGGAATATCGTGAATTGTGTATACTGTATCTGTCCCTGACGATTCGCTATAGCCGTTTTTGACTGTATATTTTCTTCTCACTGTGACGTCATATATGTATATAAAGGAGAACACCTGTGGTATGCATGTAAATACTAGTATTTAAAATGGAATCAATCATTTCATATTATATTTGATTTCCAGATAAAGCTCATAATATTGTCGTGTATCAAACATTTATTGAGCATCATGAATCCTTTCACTGTCAGAGAGGAAGTCCTGCCATTCTTGGTCGACATTGCCAACTACCAAGATGCATCAGTAATACTGGCTGTTGTTGGTAAGAAAATTATATTTGACTTTAAATCAATTGCCTTTAAACAGAGATAACCTGCTTTAGAGCTCTTTATTCTATTTCAGGTATATATAAGCATATGTTAAATAAAAGGGACTCCGTGTTAACCAGGATCTTTCTTGCACAGAGTGGAATGCCTTCTCTTCTCCCACACACCGTGGATCCAGAACTCAGTACAGACCAGGTGATTCGTGTTATACTGTAGAAGTAATATATAGTTGTAATGGACAATACAAATGTAACAATCATACTCTGTTTTGGCAAATATTAACTCAGAAAAAGTAAGATTCGCCTATTTCAAATGTACATGTAGGTTTATTTGGTGTATCAAATTCTCAGTTTCCTTGACGTAGGGGAGGGGGATCATTGTCCTCTGATGATAAAAAGCGTTATTATATAATTGAATAATTCTCTCTGATTGGCTGAGATCCAATAATGTTAGAAAAATACTACGTTATATTGACCTGCACGTGACCTTCCAGGTCAACATAAGGAATTATTTCCAGGTCAGTATAAGGAATTATTTATTCTACATTGGACCAAAAATAGATAATTTTATAATAAAACAGTTATTGCTGTTTTTTGAGGTCAATACGATGAATTAGACACCTCCGTGCTCGGTGAATATTGTACTCCTCAGGTGTCTAAACCATCGTATTGACCTCAAAAAACAGCAATAATTGTATAATATTTATAATTTTTTTTTCAAAACCACGTGTGCTTTTAACCACGGCATTATTATGAACGTTCGTTAAAATTGTAACTGAAATCACCATCCACATTTGGAATAAATTTCTGTAAGTTTGAACCAGTAGAGCTAGAGTCTGGTTAGAGACTTCTGGTATGATATCAGTCTTCGAGAGTGTACATTATAATGCGTAGAATAAATATCAAGTACTGACGACGACATGCTCCTCCCAGCTAATGTCTGTTAATTGGAGTTGTAAATTAAAAAAGTAAAGGAGTTGGGTGTAATAGTCTGGCAAACAATCTCCAATGAATGAAAATGTGGTAGAGGTCTCACAGTACAGCTCTGGAAAAAATCAGTCCAACATTGCCACCTTAAAGTGTTCCCAAGACGGAACTATCGCCTGCCCGGCTGAGGATTAGGGAAGTTTTGTGTGTTATTAATAGTGTTTCGAAATATGAGGCGATTCAATTATAGCATAGATATTCCAAACACGCAATGCTTGGACTGAACTATCTGGAATAAATCTATTTAAGTGACATCTAACTCATTATAAGAAGATTTGCGATGACATGAAGCTAAATCTTCGTATCTGATCCATCGAAAATAAGACTTATTGGCAAGAAATTGAAACATCAGTGTTTTATGCAACTGAGGTTTAAATTTTCTTTCTACGATGTTTTCTCGGTTGAACATTTCATAATAGTTTGCCGTGTCTTTTGTCGCTTGCGACAGATACAACAATTGTGCATCGATTATTTCATAATCTATGAACTCTTCTCCATAGAAAATATACTTCTAATGGGAAAATGTAAGCCTTTGTTATCACAGTACTGCATGAATGACTCAATAATGACAACTTTTTAATGATTTATTTCTTATGTCTGGCACTTGTGATCAACCTTGCTTCAAGCTGCTGACGCTAGAAAAGTGGTTTAGTGACCGTAACCTCTGCCAGGACACGAGGCGATTCTCTTGTTTTTCGGTCGTTTAGTAGACACCGATTTTAAGTTCCATAAAAAGATCTGTAAACTGCACATGTTTCTTGAAAACAATAAATGGCGGCAGTTACCAGGCACATGTTTGACTAGATTTAACCAGACAAACGCTTACATCAGTCGCTGGATAATTATTTGATCAAAAAGTTTATTTAGGGCCTTTTTGGTCCTGTAAATTTTATCATTTGGCCCTTTGGTGACTGTATATCTATTAAAAATGATTTAATTTTCTTGCTAGTCCAAGGATTAACTTTAGTTGGACTACATTATGGATCATTGATTTATCTGTGGTAAAGTTCGTCACCGGATATAGACTATATATTTTTACAAAACAAAGAAAAGTCATGTAAATTGTTGTTTATATTTTTTCAGTTTAGTATCATGATGGACGTACTGTATGATATGCTTGGATTGATAGAACAACACAGAAGAAGTAATGGCACTCAAAGTTCTACACCCCAAAGGTAGAATACTGTCCACCTTAGCCCTTATGTTCATTAAGTTCTTATGTCAAATAAATATACATTTATTGACTGTGTTCGAGGGCAACATGCGTTTTGTCGGACCCAAGAACCAATTACTGTTTGCCTGAGGCTGTTAGGCCGAAGGCAAACAGTTTGGTTCAAGGGGTCGACAAAACGCATTTTTCCCGAGAACACAGTCAATAAATGTTTTGTTATACCTTTTATTAATTTATTTATTTTATCATTATTTATTTTTGACAAACATGTATGTCGAACACCAACGAATGCAAATGAGATTTAGCTGACCCCGCCCATTATGTGACGTAAGCGGTCCAACATCTTATCGACAGGTCCAATATCTCACTCCGCGGTCAAACATCGATTTTTTTTTATACCCGCTCAGTAAAAAATTTGAAATGTTAGACTTTTATTAGTACTGATTTGTATAGGAACAATTAGGAACATTTTTTAAAGGTATAACAAAAGCATAACAAGTCCCCTCCCGGTAAGTGTAATCAGGGGGTCGTAACATAAAGCTTGCTAAGTTTTTGACTTAAGTAGGGTCATAAGTATGTTTTAGGTGCAATCTTAAGACCTGCCTAAGTACTACTTAAGTATGTCTTAAAACGTAACATAAAACGGACTTAGCTAGGTCTTAGCTAAGTCAAACTTATGTTCAAAATATTTGTTATGAATCATCCTAGTTTTTCAATTTATTTATATATATATTTGTAATAATGATTTAGTTACGTTTTTAATCACATATATATTAAAGCTGACGTCCTTACCTATCAGTTTTACCTAGGTTAGATTAGATTTCGTATTTAATTACAGTTGATTCTGTTTAAATTATTTGAAATACAATGTATTTGAAAACAAATATTGCACGGTCACAAAGTGGCACTAGTGGTTCATTTTAAATGCGTGAATATTGTTTATCACTCGAGACTGCGATGTTTTCAGTTTACCGTTTGTTGTTATTCTTTCGTTTGACAAATGTTCACTCGCTTTCAAATTGTCATTCTCGCAGACATAACCGAACGTCTATGTACTTGAAATTGAAACTCTAATAAAAAAAAGTGAAAAACAAAAGGGACATTTTGATTTTTTTTCCCTCCCATATCAGCAAGCAGAGACTGCAGATGTTTTATGATATACTTATTTACAATTTAATGAAGGATGGAAAAGAATTGTTTTCAGAAAATAATTTTTTCGTATATCTCCAACTCATCAACAATTTTTCTCTCTCTCTCTCTCTCGAACTCGAACGTTAGTGAATGGTAGTGAACCCTGTTTGAATCCTCGCTTGTTGCGTTCTACATTCAATCTAATTTACAGAAAATCTTTATTTGTTTTCTAGTCATCATCCTTTAATTCACCGACAATTTTTAAAATCATTTCAACTCATTTTTTTTTTTACAGAGAACAAACAAATCCATGATTACTGTATACAATTTACTTATAATGATTAGTGCTTATAACCTAGGTCCCACTAATATTTCAAACGTATCCCAAAAATAATATTTTGCATTTACATGTATATGTCATTTAGAGAGTGATATTAGAATCAGTGATGAATAACACCCCCCACCCCGAACAAAAAACTAAAATTCTTATACCGGTATATTAAATATAGGAAATTATTTTTTAATGCAAAATATAAATAGAGGAATGTTTTAACATAGAAAGTCAACCTTAAATAGTTCTTAATATATGTTTAAGAAAGTTAAGACATACTTAAGTCACCTCTACCGGCCGCCTAAGTTTTGCTAAGATTGTCAAATCTTAGCACGTTTCTAGTTACGGTCTTAAGTTTAAGACTGTACTTAAGTCCTACTTAAGCATGGTCTTAGACTTAAGTACCCTTTATGTTACGACCCCCTGGTTTCCAGTGAAAGTTAAGAAGGCCGTAATCCCATCAAAAATCATCAAAGCGGAACGAAATGCAAACTTGATACTAACAATCAGCTCAATATCTGCAAGTGTTTAGAAAAAAAGTGCGGATAACCAAGTGGGACAGATAGACAGACGGACGAGGAGGAAACGTGTTTCACCGGTAGGGTACTATGATAAAATTAACATTTACTGTATTATATTTAGGGAAAGGTTGGCACCGTCTGGGGGCAGTGACAAAAATCTACTGTTTGTTGGTAATTCTTCACCTTCTGGAATCCAGAAAAGCCGAACAGGTTGGTTGAGTTTCTTCTTTTCCAAGAGATTCTTATTTAAGAGTGATAATTCCATTGTAAGTTCAACTGCGCTATAGCTCGCTTTTTCTGTCCTTGAAACATGATTTGAACATTATTAGTAATTATATTATAAAGAATATTTATGATTGTTAACAAAATAAATACTTTGTGCGTGTGAGTGTTGTCATGGCTACTGATCACCAGACCGTGACCATATTTGTCTAGTTCTCCCTTTCCCAGAATGCTCCATTTCATCACTGACTAGAGGCAGACTCTCCCGAAACTCAAGTCAGGAAGGTAACACGTGACCTTTCCCGTAGAGAATGCAGATTGTATAGAACCAGACGATCTAGTTCTGTTGCTTGTCCGCCTGCTTTGTGCTGGCGTTTAGCTAGAATACTTTATTATTTCTCGGAATTTTGATTATTATTAAAGCTTTTTTACCAGAGATGTATTTTAGAGGAACGTTATGAATGCATGATTACCTGCAGTGTACAGATTTGTTATATGTTATATGCATTAGTCAAAATAGATTTTCCTTTACAAAAATATTATTCCTTTACCATTATAAGGCATGGCGTGTTCGATTGTATATGTACATTTAGAACTCCCTCTCTTACATGTATATGAAGCACTGATAAAAAAAAAAATAATGTAAATTTTAAAAAAATATATGAATTTAAAAAGCCAAATTCAGTGTATACGGGTATTCACATTAAATCGATGTAAATATATACTGGAAAAGCATTAATCATCTTTTAATATTCCTAAACACTGTGTGCTAGTATGATTGATATAGGATTACTGAATTTTCTTGGTGAATATGATCTCTGAAATGTTATTATTGATTATCTCCACTTATATACTCATATGATATACTCATGTGATATACATCCTAACGTGCCAATACTTGGAAAACACGCGCTTAAAGATATACTGATGTACAGTGTAACAATAATAACTTACCAAAGACGTAGATGAGCAGAGATTTTGAGGCTGGAAGCACAAGGTGAAAAATAGAATGATAAAAATTCTTAGCACCAATGAATGATAAATCATAGTTAGATTTATCGAAATATATATACACATAAAATACTTGGAAAACCACTCAACACACGCTTAAAAATATACTGATGTACAGTGTAACAATAAAAACTTACCAAAGATATAAATGACGATTTAGCGAAAAATAATTTTACATTCTTTACGAAAAATCTTGAAAATTCAGCAAAAGATATGGGGAATTGGAAATTTTTTCTAATTGTTACCTCTGAAAATGTTGTTAATCAAAGACTGTCATCGGCTGGGATGAATTCGTCATCGTAGGGTCTAATTGCAAATTACGCTAAACTGTACAATTTTTCATTGAACACAGATACATGTATAGCTAATTTATGCTAATAATTGTCCCACACGATATTCTACAACCTGTGTTTTACTGTATTTTCCTCATTTTGAATTTTATCTCGCAAACACAGGATTCAGATTTGGTCTTTTAACACAATTGCATCTAGGGTATTTTTAAGGAATTTTTCTTTCTGTAACTTCGAGTTCCTCTACAACAAAAAGTAAGATCTGATTATTTAGGTTTTACACTCTTCCAAGATTGGTTCTTTATGTTATCTCCGTTCGAAAGTCGCTTGTCGAAGACGACAAGTGAAAGAACAATTATAAAATATATGTGGAAATTTTCCAGAGAATAGCAACTTTTTATGTAATTATTTAATTTTTAAAAAAAATAGTGTAGCCAATCCATTCTAAATGCATTGTGATTTATAAGGAAACATATCAACAGAGAACTACTATGTGTGTGTATAATTGTTTAAGCATTCCTAGTTTATTATTTTAGATTAATCATTTGACTTAATTTTATGATTTTAAATATAATTTTAGTTTTCCATTATTATATGGATTACTTTTGAGCTAGACATGTGAAGTGTTCATTAATCACTCTATAGTTAGTAATAATGAATTGTGTTGTCACTGTTACGTAGATGATACTAATAATTCAAATGCTTTTAAAATGTTTTTCTATCCGTCATTCGAATATTTTTTTAATTTTGATATTAGGTGTATCTATTCCTAAAATTATTTGAATATGAAAATTCCCCCAAAGTTTTTCATGGAAAACGCACAGAATGATTTAATGTTTAGAAGCTCAAGTAAGACTGTTTCTGATTTGATACCAGTGCAGTTTCAGTCTCGTTCGAGATGACTGGCTTAAATTCTAAGACTATATATGATATTGAACTTGTTGAGTATGGTTTAGCCACGTTATACCATTATGTACATGTACTTGTGGACCTAGCAAAGAACGATTACTTACGTGTACACTTTACTACTTCATTACAGTAAATGCTATTTTTGATAATGTATTTCAATAGTTTGCAATTAAAGAGCAAAAATGAAATTGTCAAATACGTTTCTGGGTATAATCATAAAAAGTAATATCCTTCAATTTTTTTCAGCGCCTAACAGCCCAGAGCTCTCAAAGTTAAAGGTAATGAGATAAACACGAATACCATTAAAATTTACATAAATTGACCCTTGTACTGAAAATGTCAAAAACGTATTAATGATTACTACTTGTTATGTTTTTTCAAATGTAAAAAAGGTAAGTGAGTAGATGCTGTTTGAAAGGTCATCAAAGGTCACTCGGTCTGTTGTATAGATTGCATTCATTTCTATCAATAACGACAGTCTACGTATTCGTTGTCTGTAAATCATGGAAAATTCAAAGTGTAACAGGAAACACCATACAGATGGTCGGATCCGGATAATAAAAACGACCCAGATCTACCTAGGAAGTATATGTTTCACTATTAACCGACCTCAAGCCCTATCCTTATTGCAATAAACGTTTTCATTCCAATACAACTCAGCTATTTCCGTAAAAGCAGGAAATACTAGTATATCGTTTTTAAAGCTCACCTCTTTATTATTATTATTTTTTTAATATTTTTATTTTTGTAGATATAAAACAAAACTTTAAAAGCATTTCAGCCTGTGTCCTTGACGGAGTTTTTACTCATTAGTCTAGGATCCAGGATTTCCATATGGGGGTAGTTGGGTCAAATATTTTCACTTGCAAAAATACAATGCATTATATAAATTGTCTGTTTTGGGATTGTATGAAGTTGTTGCTTATAATTTAAACTCTTGTTTAAATTGTATATTTTTTAACTCTTTTTTATCAAAAGATTATTTTTTAACCCTCCCCCCCCCCAAAAAAAAAAATGAAGAGGAAATTTTAGGGATGGGTGTCGCCTTAAATCCGCCACTTAGTTTTAAGTTTCATAACAAAACCTGTCATCATTCAGCATATTATTCACCAAGTTACATTTGATCGTCATACAGAAGTTTCATTGTAAATATATAGCATATTTTGGGATTTTTTAATAGTAAGCTGTTTATCACATTATGTAAGTATTAAATCAGTCATACCATGGTCTAAAATATCATCACAGGAAAAAGAAATGCTGACGGTGTCAAGCAAGGAACCGCTGCGGAGGTTTAGCTTAGTGCCGCCAGGTGGCGGTACCCCTGCCATTAATCTGACTCCAGATGATGGAGGTTACATAGACAGAAACCGACGTCCAAGTCTCCAAAACATGGGGCAGTATAATCACGTAAGTACATTGAATAGAATTGACAAAATACGAAACAAACACATAAACGAATTCATCTGAAACTTTCACAAATAATGAGCTCATTAAGCTAAAATGTTGCAATTAATTAGTTGTCAAAGAGTTCAAATATGATTTTGATTTTTTTAAATTAATTTTTTCCTGTTTTATTCAGCATGTTTGTCACTGTGGTGCTTATATTTAATCTTGAAATAATGCAATTCTTTTCTTTATCCAAGCTTGAGAAATGCCATTTTTATTACCAAATACTTGTACTATAGATTAACATAGCTAGAACAGCGATCTTTCCATTTCCAGTGAAACTTGTCTAATCCGGATGTTGTTGTGTGTTCCAAAATCCTTCAAGTCCCTAATTCAGTTGATTAAAATGTTGTCTTATCCGGAATATTGTCTAATCTGGCCAGTGTCTTTGGAACCAGTGATGTCCGGATTAGACAAGTTTTACTGTAAACTTTACCTAGACCAACTACCACAAGAACTCTCCCGTTGAAAGTTGGAAATGGCAAAGGTTGTCTGTAGTCTGGTACCCTTCCCACAATTCCGTTCGCGCACGTAGAGAGTGCGCGAACGGAATTGTGGGAAGGGTACCAGACTAAAGTTGTCTGCATGGTCAACGGGTTGGTTTATTTTTTTTTTTTTCCACTTTTTTGGTAACGCAAAAATAATCTTTAATATGTGTTACCCATAAAAAAATATTTAAATTCAGCATTTGTATCGTAGGACTCTGAACGCTATGAGCGGAAAAGCAGCACAGGAAGCCTGTTCAGTTTTTCTGAACCCAGACATACAGCGCCACGGCGCGGTAGCTTCCAGGCGTTAGGAGACACTGTGGTATGACAATTACAGATATTGTATATTTACTTTAATATTGCATTTTTTATCTCTTAGACAGGCCCGTAGCAACGCTTTTAAAACGGGGGGGGGGGGGGGGCTCCAAAAAAAATTGACAAGCAAAAGAAAAAAGTAAACTACCCAAACTTGAAAATCCTTTTTCGGGGGGGGGGGGGGTCTCTAACATTTTGGTACCTTTTTTCAAATGCTGGAATTTGCTAGTATTTATCTTACAGCAACAAAAGGGGGGGGGGGGGCAACCAGCATCTAAAGCAAATTTCCAAACTAGAGCATAAGGCTATATTCAGAAAAAGCCCCCCCCCCTCGCGTTCTCCGGCCTGTTTTAATTGAATTTGTGCAGAAATTAAATGAGATGATTTTCAAATCTTTTGACTTCATTGTAGATGCAGCTTTTCTCTAGTAAATAATGTGCCCCAAGATTATTTTCACGACGGTGCAAAGTATATTATGGACTGATGCGACTTCGTTGATTCTTCTTTGTTACTCAAAGAAGGCGCCGAATATTGCCATATTGTAAATTACGATGCTTTAATCAGTTGATATATTTATGTGTGTATTTTATATATTGTTCAAAATATTATTCTTGTTTTGTACAGTAAAATATTTATTATATAATTTTTTGATTCATTATTTCATAGACAAAAAAACATGAACCATAGAATATGAGATGGAAATAATTTAGGGGAAAAGTGTATAATGATCGGGAGTTCATCATTAAAAATGCTTGTCACTGCTCCCGTGATTCTCGTGAGTGGGATACGGGGAGTGACTTGTTTTCTGAGCCTGGAGTACCACTGAGAAGATTGGTGGCTGTAATACACCATCAACACTCCAACTCCAATACAACATGGGACCTCGTCCAGGAATCAAACGAGATCCGATTCGACTGAGAAATGAACCTTCTTTTTTGCAGATTTGTGTTGTGCTTTGTTGTTGTGCCTTTTGGCTTTAGACTTTTCATACATCTGTAAGTAAGAGGACTTTTTCTGGAGAGGATTTTTTGTTATTGGTGGCAGTTTGTCCGGCTTTTTGATTTGAACACTGGAGCTACTATCCAGTCGTGGTTGGACATTTATGGTTGGCAATGCCCTGTCCATTCTCTCTTGTTCTTCTATCTTGGTCGCCTGTTTAAACCAGACATCATTCACAATCGACTGGATTTCCTCATGAGCTCTGATATAGGCCGCCGACTCCTCGTCCAGTTGATGGTTATTTGACATACACAGTCCTAGAGAATAGATGTAATTACATGACAAAGTTCTGAATGCCATAATTAGAGACGGGATTTAAATGATTATACAGTCGTGATAGACAAAAGTAGAGATGTGATTACATGGCAAACACAGTCCTAGAGATCTGACACCATTACATACATAGGTCTGATACAGAGAAGTATAGATGTGATAACATGAGAAACACAATCCTGAAACCAGAAGTAGAGACGTGATTACTTGACATACACAGTCCTAGGGGACAGAAGTAAAGACGTGTTTACATGACATACACAGTCCTAGGGGACAGAAGTAGAGATGTGATTACATGACATATACAGTCCTAGGGAACAGAAGTAAAACGTGTTTACATGACATACACAGTCCTAGGGGACAGAAGTAGAGATGTGGTAATACGACATACACAATCCTAGAGGACAGAAGTAGAGGTGTGTTAACATGACATACACAGTCCTAGAGGACAGAAGTAGAGATGTGATTACATAACATACACAGTCCTAGAGGACAGAAGTAGAGATGTGATTACATGACATACACAGTCCTAGAAGACAGAAGTAGAAATGTGATTACATGACATACACAGTCCTAGAGGATAGAAGTAGAGATGTGATTATATGACATACACAGTCCTAGAAGACAGAAGTAGAGATGTGATTACATAAAACAAAGTCCTAGAGGACAGAAGTAGAGATGTAATTACATGACATACACAGTCCTGGGGGACAGAAGTAGAGACATGAAAATATGACATACACAGTCCCAAGGGACACAGATAGAGACGTGATGATATGACATACAGTCCTAGAAGACAGAAGTAGAGATGTGATTAATGACATAAACAGTCCTAGAGGACAGAAGTAAAGACGTGATTCTAGGACATACACAGTCCTAGAGGACAGAAGTAGAGATGTGATAACATGACATACACAGACCTGAGACATAAAAGTAGAGATATGATTTCATGACATACACAGACCTGATACATAAAAATGCAATAACACTTTCCTTGATGACAGATGTAGATCTAAATGATATGTTGTCCTGATGGACAGAACTAGAGGTGTGATTACATTACATACACACAAATATAGCTATAGGACAGAAGTAGAGATGTTATTATATGACATATACAAATTTCCAAAGGACAGAAGAGATGTAATTAAATAATATACAGTCCTGATTAACAGAAGTTGAAATGAGGTCGCTAATATATTGAGATGTATGCAAAGCTGAATCAACTTATTCAGAATTTGTTGTAAATAATTAAAAAAAATTAGAACAAAATTTATGTTTTAAATTCGACTGTACCTAATTGATTAGCTATTTCCTTACCTCTGAGAGATATGAGTTCGGTTTTTAGATGTTTGATGTGCTGTCTACATTTGGCTGTGGACATGCGGTCCATTTTAGCGCTGACCTGTGCCAGTGATACTCCGGTCCGTAGCTGACGGGCCTCCGATCTCATCTTCTTTATCTGTCTCCGCAGAGAGGAGTTGTACATGCACTGGTAGTTATATCTACAGGGACAGAGAAGAGGGATATGTTTAACGATATCAGTATATATGAAGGTCTGGATGGGCAAATAAAGAAAGCTTATGGGCCACAACGCTCACCTGAGAAATTTTGGCACTACTGTTCTTCCGAAAAGAAAAAATGGTTTTTCCCCACTCTTTATTTGAAACGAAAGATTAATGTGGCCTATACTATCCTCAAAAGATCATGAATTAACCAAACTTAAATCCATACAATATCGGGATGCTACAATGTCAATTTGACTAACATTGTCTTGTTGTTCTAGGGAAGATTTTCCCCTGTATACATGCAATCTTTTAATTTTCTATATAGTACTTGTATATACATGTATATGTATTCCCGTGTAAAACTATGATCCATATTGTAACCTCCCTATAAACCATAGAGGCATGATTTACAACAAACTTGAGTCTGCAATACCTGAGGATGCTTGCATATTATTATGACTAATCATGACCCATCAATACTTTTGGTAACAGATTTTCAATGAATTCTTATATATTCTCATGTAAAACTTTTTCTCTTAAGAAGATTTAGTCATATTGTATACTCAATCATCCTTAAATATTTTTTTTTCAAAAAATGGGTCCCTATATATGATGGGTCTACAATAAGATATAATAAGATTCTCAAAGAGTTTTTTTTCCTATGAATTCCCTTATGCACGTGCATGTAAAACTATAATCCCTTATTTTGGCAGGGCAGGCCCAACCCTACCCTCTGATATACGTGTAGTTTTCCTTTAGAAAGAGATTTTCTAATGACCCCACCCTAATGTTACCTTTTCTTGATTATCTTCCTTTTTTAAATTTGGCATAGTCTTTTATTTGAACAATTCTGAATCATATCAGTAAAGCTCGCCTGACTCTTTGGCTCAGGCGAGCTAGAAATGAGAGATCAGTAACTTAATTTTTTAAATTTACATAAACCCCTTGATATTAAGTATTTGACGTATACCGTTCTTTGTCCTTCAGCATATGTTAAATAAATAACGCGTGTGAGAGAGCAGTTGTTACAATATTATTGGTGAGGACCTTCATTTTTTATCAGTTCAATACTGAATATTTAAACCACTGAATATTTTATCCTATGAAATTATCTTATGAAATCTTATGAAATTACCCTTTTATCAATCTATTATCTTTAAACTAGTTGGAACCCGTTTTAAGCCACCTGAGTGAAAGATCTTTTTTAAGCAGTGTGATGTTAATGTATGTTTAAGGAGCGGGCACAACCGAAGTTATCAGACACAGTTATTGATGGATACAATCGTAAATAAGTCATTGTCATTAGTTTTTCTTTCTTTTTTTTTGTTCTTTTTTTTTTTTTAAATTTATTTATCCTTTTTTTTTTTTGTTAATGACCACGCAAGTGTGGTAAGTATCGAAATCGTAAACTTTCTTTTCCCGAAAGAACTTTTCCAAATGCGGAATTTCTCAAATGCAAACACAACTACATTCCATTCAAATTTTGCAAAGTAATACTATCTACACCTAATTTTAACATGCTTCTACACACACACACACACACACACACCCTCCCTCACACACACACAAATGTTGCACTATATGAAAAAAACTATAGATTCAAAGAGTATTGAAATATAGTCAAGATTTATAAAGCTGAAGTCTGTCCTAAAAATATAGAAGTATGCTGAAGTGTTCCACTTATATCTATGTATGCATTGTCTTCCATATACTGGCAGATTGTATTGATTTGAATTTTATATTTGTTTTTATTTTATTTTCTTCTTCTTCTTCTTCTTCTTCTTTTTTTTTTTTTTTTTTTTTTTTTGCTTTTACTTATTTATTTACATGTATTCATTTATCATTGTATCTATTTTATTTTTGTTTATTTGCCATGAGGAAAATTGGATGTCGGAAAATATTGTGTGCCTAATTTATCTACATTGATTTCACTGATGTTTACCTGGTCTTCCATTCGTTATCTTCATTCACTTCTTTCTCTTTCTTTTCTTCCATTTCTTTGATGATGCCCATCCAGCCCTCTGAGGATTTTTTATGTAGGTTCATCCATTCTCTTTCAAGTGCAAGTTCTTCTTTCAGTTCCTTTAAAGTTGTTTTTCGACCCATTTTATCGTTATCTCCTTTCTTATGTGAAACAAACGATATTATGATAATTTTCAATTGTGACGTGTCTTTTTGTGACGACATAGTAGTGTATTGTGACGTCATAGAAGCAAATAGATATCGGTTATCAAAAAATAGAAATGGTTTAACTAAAAGTAAATATCTACATATAATTCCCTTGGTATGAAAAGAAGTTTGCAAAAACATTTCAGATTCTGGGACATATATACGCCCGTGGTAGAATTTATAGTATCAGAGACAAGTAATTTTAAGCATGTTATATGTCTCAATCTCTCACACGATAAAACCTATACTGTTAGCATAAAATGAATGTGATTCATTTATCTAAAAACAATCAACTAAAAATTATGTGCTATCAGCAGGGATATACTATATCCCTGCTATCAGAGTCATAAAATATTCTGCACAAGTCGAATCAGTTTACGAACATTTTAATTAAATCTCGCGAGATTTGACGCGATATTACGTGGTTTCAGAAATATACCTTCCGGATAGGATTCCGACTTCCTTGTCATCAAAGAAGAGTTTTAGTCAGAAAATGGAAAACTTTCCTGGATGATTTACTGGTATAGTTATTTGATGATAATAACAATTTACGGATCTTAATTTATACTTATCAAAACAATAATGATATCCGATACTGGTGCCCGTCGCAAGTGCCACAGGCGTGTCTGTCCCATTTTATCAACTGATTTCCGTAAACAATACACATTTCAGGAGAGATTTATTATACAGTATA